CAAAAGAAAAAACTGCGAATAAAATGTATATAGATTATGTTGTGATTGTTACTAATGTATTACTGTTATTTATTCAGACATTTTTCTGAGTCTGTCAACAAAATATTCGTATTTTTTATGACGACTTTTCTATTATATAATAATAAGGTGTTCCTCTCATACGCAAAGAAATAATCGGAAAAGATTAGAAACAAACCAGTATAAGCAATATTCAACGTTCTCATTAATACGCATAATTCTTTTGGTTTCTATTGCGTTATGTCGTTGTGACAAAATGCCACAAATTTATAGCTACGTTTGCCAACGCAGGAATTCTCAAATCTGCGCGGTTAATAAAACAATTGAATTGCTGACGCGCTAAAGCAGATTGTTTGTCAAATTGTNGATTNAAGATGATTGAGATGATCTTGAAGTTTCCTCGACAATTTTCGAATAAAGTTTTATTGAAAACTNGCCAATAAATTTCTGATCGCATCCATGCAATTTATTGTTTGAATTTACCTGCAAATGCCTTTTCTACTTATCTTCTCACGTTTTTTTCAAACACTGTACATGTTTCATCAATTTGATAACTTTGTAATTACACAAAACATTAATTTACCTTGTCAATGTGTTGATACGAATAAGTTTTCTGTGCTACAGTTGAGACAAGATCGAGTACACGTAACTATAATATAAATATGACTTGATCAAAGTGTTTTCTTCGAAACAACGTTGAACCGCATTNAGCAAGCTTCTCATTAATTAAACACAAAATACCGTATTCTGGGGGGGGGGATTATCCTAAAATAATATATCANTCTTACAATTGTGTGCAATCGAAATGTGTAAGGTATATATATAATGCACACATACTGGAACTACTAGCAATGTTGATAAGAANCTCGACAAGCATGAAAGCAGACAGATATGGTTGCGAACTGTTTGGTCTTCCAATATCAATGGTTTTCGGCATCTCCGGCACTAAACTTATTAAAGCGGCCTNGAAACAGCGGCCTATCAACTGAAAAATGTCCATTTGAATACATAAAGTGATGAATTTATACAATAAAAAAAAGAATAAACGATAACGGAACTAATTGGTGGCTCACCTTGACGTAGTCATTNATTTAAAAGAGCGACTTGTCCAGTTAGTAAATGTAATTGAAAGCGCGTATGGACAAAAGTTAAGAAAGATATAGCAATAAAACAGAATGGTGCAGCACAGGCGCGCATAAATGCNCACGTTCTCCTCGTGTGATGGCCATGTACTATCTTTTTAGTATCAACTGCTAATAATAATCTATTTACACGAACATATATAAGTGATTATTTGTAAATATAGAAGACAAATAAATGACTTATAATTTCTGTAGAAAATATTCCTACTATTCTGACATAAAGTAAGACTTGAAAACCATAATTGATATTGTATAGGATTGTATAAGAGTGTCGCATTGTATATCATATCATCATATATNCTTTGACAATNAAAGCACTNTGCGTTGCGTATCTTTATTTGGTTTTACCAGAAATAAATNAGAACAAACTATTATTGGACAAATTATTATAATGCGAATGAATTGACATACCTAATAAAATCATGCATTATCCTTGCAATAAACATCTGAGCATTTATGATAATCGGATCCGCAATAGATTCACTCTGCGTACTCATTCCTTCTATGATTGTTTTACAAATTTTAACTTTCATGCTTTCTTTGTCAAACAAGTCTATGAAAGGCACCAAATCGTCCTTGAAAATATTTTGACAATGTCTATGTGTACTGTAAGTTTGAAATTATAAAACTAATTATAAAAAGAGAAATTGATANAAAAAAAAGATAAAACANANAAAAAGAAAACACTTNCCATGATAAGCACAGATTCAAATTCTTGCGAGCAACTATTTTCTTATCAATAAAATTCTAGAATAGTGGATAATAGTTTTCAAAAGTTTTGTTTGATCGTAAACAATCTATTATTTGCCAAAAAGTAAATTCAATTTGTATACCTATGCAAGCAACACAACATAGTACAAAAACAATAAACATAACCTAACCTAAGGCCAATATTACATTTGTCGTACAACAAAGACTTGTTGAAATATGTTGATTAGCTATCAGATAAAGTTTCATAAAGAACTCTATTTGATAGCCAATCAATATACTTGAAATCTTTGTGGCACGACAAGTGTAATACTAGCCTAATACACATGATATGTGGGTATGCGTACGTACATATTTCGTTTGTACTTACGGTTGTCATTTCTTGATTCTCTTCAATCAAATGATGTTCGCAATTGTTCTCGTCGCGCTCTTTCTCTCTCTCTCACTTTCTCACTCTCTCTCTCTCTCTGACTCAGCAACTCACTCACTCACTCGCTCGCTTACTCGCTCTCTCTCTCTCATCACATATTACAGTTTTCCTCCTTATCTATTGTTTGCGCTCACCGCCATCTCGTAAAAGCACTAGCAGATGGACGCATTCCTGGACGCATTCCAGAGATCCGAAACATCGTGAATTTCACGCACATTTTTGTTTATCTTCAATTATCTCTGTTCACAAGCTACAGACCGAAAAAACGCAAGATTACTGTTTTGTGTATTTTTTAAACGCGAACCGAACGAGCTCAAAACCAAGTCGATTGGTTCAGTCGTTATTAAGAAATAGCTGATTAAAAATCTCTCCTCCACTGAAAAATCTCATTTTCGCGTATATAAGAAGCACGGCGTGCTCGCGCAGTTCGAGCGCCACTTTGTTGCGCGTGAACTTGGCGCGAGGCACTACCGTGCCTCTTGATTATAAAATTTAATGATGAGAACAGGTGTAATGTAGGAGAGTTCGTATACTTTGGTATCGCCAAACATCTTCAATTAACTGTAAATCTTGCATTACACAAAAACGAGATTTTAAATCTAAAAATAAACATTGATGGCCTTCCTTTATATAATTCAAGCTTGCAACAATTCTGGCCAATATTAGGACAATTACATTTTGCACCAGAAATATACAAACCGTTTCCGATAGCCGTATATGCAGGAAAACAAAAACCAAACAATTTGAACGCATATTTTGATAAGTTTATCATTGAAATAAATGACCTGCTGCTTAATGGGATAATAATAGGCGGATAATAGGCGGTAAATTGTTCAAAGTGTGTATTATGTGTTTTGTGTGCAACAGGCCTGCTCAATCATTTATTAAATGTATAAAGAGTCATAACGGGTTTTATGCATGTGAGCGATGCGATGTACTTGGAACTCGGTATGAAAGAAGAACGATTTATACTGACATTTGCGAAGAAAGAACTGATCAATCTTTTAGAGATCAAAAAAACCCTGAACACCATATCGGACTATCACCGTTAACATTTATAAATCCGAAAATTAATATGATATCTCANTTTGTGTTAGATTTTATGCACCTCTGCTGCTTAGGCATTATGAAATAAATGCTTATGGAATTTTGGTTAAAAAGAAATTTATCGACAAAATTGAGTTTTACTGGTAAAATGCGTCTTTCGGAACGATTAATTTGGGTGATACTCTATTGACCACAGTACGATTCGACACTGCTCGATTCGACACAGATTTATTCGACACCAAATTATTCGACACCGTACGATTCGACACCAGATTATTCGACACCGTACGATTC